ACTGATGATGGTGGAAAACACCGAAACGTATTTTAATTGATAAATAGACAATAAATGACTGAAGCCCAGGAATTGATTTTGATTTGGAATTTAAACACAGTCAGGAAAGTATGTACAATGATTTAATTATAGTTCAAAGTAGGGCTCGGAATCAAACTCGAATAATTCGAATATTCCAAAAGCTAATAATTATGTGTAGTCATAACTCGAATATTCGAATATTCAAATACTCGAATAATCGAATACTCGAATACACCAACATTATCAAACTCTCAAGGTGCAAATATCTTTATATGCACTTTGTATACTTTTATAAATCAACTTTAGCGCGGTGTTACAATTAATGTGCCCACAAAGGCACTTTGTCTTCTTGGAAAACGAACCCTCGAATATCTAACGAATACGAATAGAAATACTCGAATATTCGAGTATTCGAATAATTTTACTATTCGAATAAACCACTAAACGAATATTCGAATATCAGATTTTTAAAAATTTCGAGCCCTAGTTCAAAGTCCTCACTACCTAAAGCTGTAGGCTCTGCAAGTGAATCGGCGCGAATTTAAACATTCCAGTTGACAATCCACTATAGAGCGCACTGTTAGCGAGTCTCTAACGACTGACTCGTGCAGTCTTTGTCCGCTCCTGACTCTCCAGAAGCAATCTGAAAGTTTCCTCACTTAGGCAGGATTAATCTCTTGAGGCTTGCTCGTACCACTTTCATCTCTGAGTGGAGTTTCCTTCGCCGCTGGGCATCTGTGCCTGTTATTCATGGTATAAATATCAAAGTCTCTATCAGGTTGAACGTCGGTGTAATAATCCAGCTCTTTATAGTTGCGATTACTCAACTGGCAATTGTCTGCAAAGCTGATGTACCTGCAAGGAAACACGCAGTTATTTTTTTTTTGTTATTAAAGGCTTAGTAAATTACCTGAACGCATAAGAAGCGCATGGAAAGGCCTTTTCCTTCACGCAAAGCAGCTCACAGTCGTGGATATTGGGGACGGAGGTGATTTTCTTCACTATGCCTTTGTGCAAGCGGAATCCTGCAGCGCTCCGCAGGGAACATTCTGGAAAATTTCAGTTCAAAGTCTAAAGAATGGATTTTTTCGGATAGAAGAACATCCAAGTGATATACGATATGGCGGAAGATTAAAAACTTTTAGTTTTGTGATCGGTTTTGGGGAAAACCTTAATGGGTTTCGCGAAAAAACGGTAGGAATTTATTTTAGTTTTCGTCTCGAATTCGACGCTGAAAAAAGTTTTTGTAAATTTTTTACAAATCTATAAATTTATCGTTTTTTTTTCGCGTAAAAGACCTCCAGATCGTCGGTATTTTTAAGTGTATATACTTTTCTGACTGTGTTTCAATTCCAAATGAAATTTATTCCTGGGTTTCAGTCATTCATTGTCTCTATTTATGAATCAAAATACGTTTCGGTGTATTTTTCCACCATCATCAGTTTTTCAAAAATAACATAGTTAAAAAAAGTTCATTAATTTAAAAAACAACCACAATTCGTCAACAGCCTCATCATATCACACATTAAAATACATCACAATTGCAATACTTTAAAACATTCTAAAATTAATTAGGCCTAACAGGTGATTAGTCAGGACAATCAAATTTGGGAAGAGACTAGAATTCTTCGTTCAGATACTTAATTATTTTTACTTACACGTGTAGCGTTGTTGCTGCCTTGGCATGCATTTGAAGTATTAATTTTGTTCATTATCGGACACAAAACATGAAATAAACATAGAATATTAACTAACACCCGGTATATTGAAGAATTTTGCAAACCAAAAATAATATCCTCAGAATGCAAGTAAAAATAGTTGAAAGTAAAAGAAATCAATATAAACAGTATTTTATTCGTTTTGTGTCCGATAATGGACAAAATTAATACTCCAAATGCATGCCAAGGCTTAAAGCAGCAACAACGCTACACGTGTAAGTAAAAATAATTGAGTATCTGAACAAAAAATTCTAGTCTCTTCCCAGAATTGATTGTCCTGACTAATCACCTGTTAGGCCTAATTAATTTTAGAATGTTTTAAAGTATTGCAATTGTGATGTATTTTAATGTGTGATATGATGAGGCTGTTTTAAATTAATGATTTTTTTTTTAACTATCTGTTATTTTAGAAAAACTGATGATGGTGGAAACCTACACCGAAACGTATTTTGATTAATAAATAGAGAGACAATGAATGACTGAAACCCAGGAATAAATTTGATTTGGTATTTTTAAGTGAAACCCTACAAAATAGATCGTTTTTAAATAGAAACTAAAGCACAAAAAATCAGACAAAACTAAAAATCCTCATTTTTTTTAACAAACTCGACAGTCTTTAGAGGAATGGAGGTGACGAAATTTCCAAATAATCTGTTATAAACTTTCGCTCATTCTGTTCGTTTTTTGATAGAAAATTATTTGATTTTTGTTCCAAATTCGACGCTGGAATAGGATTTCAGAGCTTTGCAAAGCCACCAAGGATTCGAAATCTTTTTCATATTTTTCCACGGAGAATACCTTCAGTTTACATTTTTAAGTGAAACTTAAATTAATAAAAAAGCTAAAAAATGGCCCTTGAAGAAATCTAAAAACAAGTAAAAAAAGTCATCGACATTTTCGCAGCAACGGAACTGTTACTGAGTTACTGCGCCGGTGCGTTGGGTTGGCGCACCAAGCCATTGCGCCAACTCCTAACAATTCTTCAGATACCCAGGCCTAATTCGCAGCACATGAGAAGGTAATTTTATTTGAAAAATTTTGGAAACTCACCATCTCTAATAAAGTCGAAAGTCGGCGGTCTGCGCGGCTCAGCAGGCAAAATGCTATTTTCCATCTCATAGCCCCCACTGGCAGGGGCTGATGAAGGTAAGTAAGTCCCAGGTGGACGTTGTGGATGGGATTCATAACTAAATGACCCATTGGAGTTTGATTTGTGAAACCGCTGCTCTGGTAAGAGCCTCATACTTACCCAGCTTGGGCTCTGTCGCCTTGCAGCTTATTAAATCCCCAATAGTCATACACTTGGCTATTGCCATATCCTTGGTACTCCAAAGAATCCCCATTCTCTATTCCATAGCGGCCCCCATACAGTCCCCAATCCGCAGGAATTTGGGGCCTTTGTGGTCTCGAGGGAACGTAGTAGTTTTTCTGATTGTTTTCATACCTGCAACAGGGCCCTTTCCAACGACACTCCACATTTTGCTTACCAAAAACCCACCGTACTTACCGAGATTCACATCCAATTCATTAGGCGCACTTTTCGAGTTTTTAAACCGATTTTAACTGCACATTTTCGAAATGTGATTAAGAGTTGCCATAAGTGTTCCATGCTGTGTGTGCAATTGATAGTGACGAAAGCGTGCGACTAGTGGGAGAAGAAGCAAAGTAACGAGTTTGTTTCCTACCTATTTCTATAATCATATCGGCCGCCATACAACCCCCCTTCTGGTCTTGTTTCTGGATATCTACCTACAGGATAACTAGGAGGCAAAGGAGCTTTGGGATATTCGTCCAGTGGAACAATCACTGGATGCAATGTTTGGCCCTTAGGGGACCCCGGAAGGTAGTGGATGCCCTTTAAGGGCCTGCGATCTTCATGTTGATGATGAAAATCGTATCTATCTACATTGTGTTCATTGTAATGGTAACTGTGACTGTGACTACTATGTGATTGGTGTGAGTGATGGTATGAGTAGTCTGAAAAGAAAGAAATAAAACCATTACATTTTTGAACTTGCGCTTTAATTGCCTGAAGTGCTTGTAAGTTATTCTTATTAAGCTACTGGAATAGGTGCTAATACAATGTTACTGTATTGTGTACGATATGGTTTAAATATCAGGGTTTTTCTTGGCTGTTTTGCCAGTTGAGTTGCTTCACCCCCAAGAAGAAATTCCGAAAACAGTTTAAATTACAAATCGCGTTGACTACTTGATGGACTGGAGTAGGGCTCGGAATTTTTAAAAATCTGATATTCGAATACTCGTTTAGTGATTTATTCGAATAGTAAAATTATTCGAATACTCGAATATCTAACGAATCGAATATTCGAGTATTCGTTTTCCGTTCACCGTTTTCGACGAAGAAAAATTGTTATCTCATATTTTTTGGCAATTAGCCGCAATGGATAAAGAAGTGCCTTTGTCTGCACATTAATTGTAACACCGCCCAAAAGTTGAATATAAATGACGCGAATCACCAGAACACGTAATTTTATATTCATTTGCAGGAGGGTAAATGGATTATTTTCTTTTGCTTGTAAATATATGGGTATTCGTTTAAATGCTTGTAGAATATGAGTAATTTATTTTATAAAAATATACAAAGTGCGTACCCAGATAGCATTTGATATTCTATGAATATCCCAGAATGTTCAAAAAATATACAGAACATTGCGGGAATATCCTGCGAATATACATAGGTGAACATTCCTAACATGAATGTTCGTGGAATATACATGCATGTATATTCATCAAAGTTCATAAAAAGTATATCCTAGGTATGTACATATATATGTACATATGGGGTATATGTGCAGATGAACATGCCAGGTATGTACATATTGTGTATATGTGCAGGTGAATATACCTAGTATGTTGAAAACAAATATTCCGATAAGATACATGAATGTATATCTACGGTATATTCCAAATTGGTTGAATATAAATTTTGCGTGCCTGCAGCAGAAAAGTAAGGGCATGTAAAAGTAAATCTTCTTATTACTAAAACCTGAGACCCTTATGAAATACTGAAAATATGGTGGTTTGATTGACAAATTAACAAAATTTATCGAAAATAAATTTTGCGTGCCCGCAGCAGAAAAGTAAGGGCACGTACAAGTACAAGAGTTTATATGAACTTTTCTTT